AATGGAGCCATAACTGAGGAGCTGGAAGCCCTCCTGACATTTGGGCGGCACACAGAGCACGCCTGCTTTGCAGTTGCAAACCTTGGATGACTGTCAGGGCACACCTGCCTGACCCCACTCCATCCGGTCCGACCCCACCCGATTCCACTACCCTCACCCGCTGCCCCCATCCTCTCTCCTCCCTTCTCTCCCTCTCCTTTCCCCTTCTTTCCTTTCTTTCTCCTTCTTTCCTTTTCTATTACACGGACGACTTCCTTGCTCGATGTACCATTAACCAGACTGCGCAACACACCCGGACCCGGACACACCGGGTGACGCCCTACACACCGGATGCCCCTGAGACCTCTTACGGAGATGCCTGGGCGGACACGGCTGTGCGCATAGATGATGTGGCACTCCCCACATGACCTCCAACCACATGTACATAAACACAGCCTAAGTGGGAACTGAGAAGTAACCTTCTTCTCACACTTCCCACTTTAGGCAAGTAGCTTACATTCCCCTGCTAATAATAATAACACACTTCCCACTTTAGCCTAAGTGGCCAAGGACCCTTGCCTGCTTCGTGTCACGGCCGTGCATTCCGGCCCATTAGCCGCCCGTCCCGATGCCGCCCGAGCCCGTTACCGCTATGCGAGCGTGAGCGCGAGCCCCGACCTCAGCCCTATCCTCCCTGAGGACCCCCTGCTCACTTCCCTGCTTGCCCCTAGGCTCCCCTGCACCTGGCCGACTCCCCCACAGCCACACCGACCTCCCTGCCCCGAGTCCGCCTCTGGTACCGACCTAGCGTGACTCCGCGACATCGCCTACTCCGCTATGATACCATCGCCGCTATCGCGGCCCTACACCCCTTCGTTTATTTATCTGTTATTGTTTGTTTTGACCCTCGGTCATTGCCGGCCGCAGTGCGGCCAACCCGCTCTTTGTTCCTATTTGCTTCCGGACCCTTCGGCCTTCGGCCCGGGTCCGCTTCTATTCATTTCACCTTCATATATATATCCTGTATACTACATTATAGTACCTTAGCTCTAATATCAACTTGACCACGACCCCAAGCCCTGACCCCAACAAGGCAGCCCCAGTAAGTTTGAAATGAGGGCCAAGAGACAACTAGGGGGCACAGCACTCCCTTTAGAGTTGCTGAGGCCAAATGCCCTACCCTCGGGCCTTGTCTGAGGCATCGCGGCCATCGCGGCCCTTAGCGGTCCGCATCGGCGACCTTCGGTGCCCGACCCCGGATCAGTATCTAACACTTCGGGCCCATTGTTACGCACGCCCGCGCTGCACCCTACCGGGCCCTCAGCCCCGGGTGATATACCCAGATGCTCTCGACCCCGGGTCGGTCCCTGACAATGACAGTCCCTCATCATAGGGCACTCATGGCTGCTACACCACAACCCAGAGGTAGACTGGGCATGACAGAAAGTTGTCATGTCCTGTTGCCCGTCCTCCTGTAGACAGCCGTGGGCACGAGATGACCAGGACCCTGCACTAGAGCCAGGGGATGGGATCTACACTGCAATCATCCCCCCTGGCTGGGGACACGACCTGAGGGCCACCATGACCCCCTCTCAGCGGATGGCCCAGGAGGCCCGTGACCTGGATGCAGAACCCGCATCATTCGAGATGCTGGTGCCAGAGCACTACCAGGACTTCCGGGACGTGTTCTCGAAAGAAGCCTTCGACCAGCTGCCCCCCCAGAAGCCCTGGGATCATGCTGTAGGTCTGGTACCAGATGCCAAACTGCCCAGAGGAAAGACCTTCCCCCTCTCTCAGCCAGAGCAGAGAGAACTGGACAAGTTCCTGTGCAAAAACCTGCAGAATGGGCAGATACAACTGTCTAAGTCTCCGATGGGGGCACCAGTCTTCTTTGTCAAGAAGAAAGATGGATCACTACGCCTAGTACAGGACTACCGGAAGCTGAACAAGATCACTGTAAAGAACTTGTACCCACTCCCACTTATCTCGGACATCCTCGCACACTTCCGGAATGCCAAATACTTCTCTGCCCTGGACTTGTGCTGGGGGTTTAACAATGTCCAGATCAAGGATGGGTGTCATATCCATACCAACTCCACCTCACCTCCGCTCTACTCCGCCACCGCTCCGGTCCACCTCTGGTCCATCCTCCCCCCACACCTCCGCCATACCCTCTGGTTCATCTCCGGTTCACCTCTGCCTCCGATCTCTGGTACCTTCTCTGGTACCCCTTATCCTCACCTTAAACGTTTATTAATATTTCTATCTACTCAATATTACTACAGACCTCCTAGGACCTCCACCACCCCTGCAAAGGTTTTCCCACCCTCCAGTAGCTGTCGCTAATTCCACCCTTCACCTACCCACTCCACAATGCTCGATAAGGCGATTCTCTCATGAGCTCACCAACCCAGCAAGTGGGTAAGTCCCCCTTGGGTTTTCCCCTTTGTTCCCATTTGTCTTCTATTATGTATATAAGTCCTGTACTGTAGTTGATGGCATGTCATATCTATACAATCCCAACCTCCGCTCCAGGCTCCCGGAACTCCGAACCTGACTTCCAGAGTCCTACTTCCCTTCTGCCACCTCTGTCATATCCATACAATCCCGACCTCCGTTCCGGGCTCCCGGAACTCTGAACCTGACTTCCAAGAGGTTATCCCACCTCCGGCTCCAACACCACCTTCGGTCCGACTCCGGAACATTCTGGGTCCGACCTCATCCTCAACACCTTCCAGATGAGCATGCAACACCTATGCTCCCGACTCCGGACCTCCGCTCCGGAATCCCGTTTGCATCTCCATCTCCGGAACCTCCGGTCTTAGCTCCGACCTCGGACTTTGACCCCACCTCCGCTTATACCCATTGTATTGGTTAGCTCATTCCATTTAATTACGTTTGCCAATATTCCGGAGTTTAACTTCCGAGTTCGGACTTTCCGGACTTATGTCGGACCTTGCAACTATTGCATTGCTCCATTCAATTCCGCTATACTCCCTCATTCCTATTTGGGCTGCTGCTTCCTTTCTATTCAGTCAGCTGGCCATTCCCCACTCCCATCCTCCTTCCTTCCTCCTTGGGCCTTGGCCCTTCATTCCTCCTTTGAGAAACACCATTGAGTCAAACCCTTGACCCTCGGTGTTGTTCCTCTTTCCATCTCCCTTTGTCCTACCCTTGTTCCTTTTGATTCCGGGCCCCTCCTGTCAGGGGACAGACCCCGGGCCCCCATGACCCCTCTCTCTATAGCCCACAGCCCTGTGTGTAAACAGCCTATCCTAAGGCATAACCTACTGTGGGTAAGAAAGTGAGAAGAAGGTTAACTTCTCACTTTCCCACAGTGGCCCAATATGGCAAAAACTTCCGGGGATACCCGGAAGTCACATGAAGAGTGGGAACCGGGCCCGGAGCATGTGGCACATGGAGCATGCAGGGCAGAGCGCACAAGCGGGTGCAGGTCCGGGTCCGGATGCGGGTCCGGGTCCGGGCTAGTCAGGGTGTGTGCCCTGACACCTCCTTATATACAATGTACCTAGTAACTTGTAACCTCAGTCCAAAATCGACTTGAAATGCCCCCAAGAGACTTTCCCTCTGCTAGATCCGAAATTAGGGACCCCCAGGACAACCAGTAATGGCACAGCGCTCCACCTGAGTCGCTGAGGCCGAGGTCCTTCCATGCTAAGTCTCCGATTCCACTCCGGAGTCGTCCGAATCTGCCCATTCTAACATGGCACCTCAGTGCAAAATCAACAAGACTATCCCCAGAGTTCGTGCCCCTCATTCTGAAGTTAAGGACCAAGCTCCTAAGCATTACTGAATGTAGGCACAGCACTCCTCTCCAAGTCGCTGAGGCCACAGTCCTCCTGTTCATTCTCTACCTCCAGCCTCCTTCTGGGGAAAGGTCCAGGGACACTGCCCCTCCTCGCTGTGTACTTGACAATGGGGACGAGTGGAAGGCAGCATTTGCACCCAACCGAGGGCTGTTCGAGCCTATGGTATACTCGTTTTAGGCCTTTAGTCTAAAATCGACCTGAAATGCCCCCTAGAGACTTCCTGCTTGCCACCTATGAAATTAAGGACCAAATGGAGAAACAGCAATGGCACAGCGCTCCGCTTGAGTCGCTGAGGCCAAGGTCCCTCCTTGCTAAGTCTCTGGTTCCCCTCCGGAATCATCTGCCCTTGCCCAGTTCTAACAGAAGTAAAAATAGTAAGTAGATCACATACTGCAGTTCCCTCTTGCAGGGATCGGTATGGGTGGAAGCACTGAGCACACTGATGAGCAAGTGCACCTTGGATTGTCTTGACAGCTCCAGGGAAAATTTTTTCTTGCATCTTTGAAGCCAAAGCTGTGATGCTTGTGTGTGATGGAAGAACAAGCTCATGATTGGTAGCTTTTGTTAGAGCCAGGCGGAAACAGACGACTCCGGAGTGGAATCAGAGACTTAGCGTGGAGGGACCTTGGCCTCAGCGACTCAAGCAGAGCGCTGTGCCATTGCTGTTTCTCCATTTGGTCCTTAATTTCACAGTAGGTGAGCAGGAAGTCTCTAGGGGGCATTTCAGGTCGATTTCGGACTAAACCAAAACGAGTATGTACAAGCGCCAATATATATAATGGAAGGGGCAAAAGCACAAGGAAAACAAAGGGTAACCGAATCGGAACGAAGACGTCCGAACGGGAACAAAGGGTAGAAGGAGCGGAGCGGTACCGAAGGTCATAAGGCAGGACCTGTGATACATCCGAAAGGAGGTAGGGAGGGCGAGGCCCAGAGGGGCAGGAGGATGAGGGGAAGTGGGGATGATGACTAACCGGCTAGAATAGGAAGAAGCAATAGTCCAAATAGGGATGAGGGGAAAACGCGAGAAATACATTACAAGCGGCGAGGGTGCCGAAGGCGATCCGCGAAGCTCGGGGGTTGTGGAGCTTACGGAGCTTACGGAGGCGGGGTTGAAAGTCCGAGGGATATTGGCAATGGTGTTTACGTAGTATGAGGTCACCAATGCAATGGACTAAGACTGAGGTGGAGTCAAAGTCCGAGGTAGGGACTATGACGGAGGCTCGGAACAAGGTACAAGCGGTGTCCGAGTGCGAAGTACGGAACAGCGGTGGAAGGTCGTAACTTGGCGGAAGGGTGGCGGAGGAGTAACAGAGGGAGGAGAGAGGGGAAAGGTAGGGGAGAAGGGGTGGCGGAAAGGGGAGTAGTCAGGTCCGAAGGTGAGTATCGGAGCGGACGGGGGAAGCGTAGGAGGATGACGGGAGGGTGGAGGTGTTGTGAAGGGGGAGCGGAGTAGTAGGAGGGTGGCGAGAGGGGCGGTGTTCGGTCCGAGATGAGTATCGGAGCAGACGGAGATAGGGTCAGAGAGGTAAGGAGGAGGTGTGTTGCCAGGACCGAGGGTGAGTATCGGAACGGCAGCGGTAGGTTATGACTCCGGAGGTGAGGAGGGTGGAGGTCCGGAAGTCGGGTCGGGGTCGGGTATGCACGGATATGACAGCTTTGCACAACTTGAGGGACTCATGTAAGACAAATAACTTCCATGCATGCTTTGGAAGGAGGGAAATCTTATCCTTCCCATATCGCTGTGTGTCAGGGCACACCCGCCTGACCCGGCTCCACCCACCCTGACCCGGTATCCTGCTCACCTCTACTCCCCACCCCTCATCACGGTTCCTCAACTCCTGTTCTTCTTTCTACCCTTTTGTTCTTTTATTCCTTTGTTCTTTCTCCTATCTTTATCTACATGGACGACCTTTCCCCATACCTATGTATTATTGACCCGCCCGCAACACGTGCATGACACACCCAGCCCCGGATGACCCAGACGGCCTCGCGGTGCAACCCAGCACGCGCACGTGCTGCACATGCCCTTGGGATCCCCCACGGGGACACCCAGATGACTGCGGCTGTATGCGGGGTGACGTGGCAAACCTCATGTGACCCAAGTGTCAGGGACGCGTCCAGGGTAGAGGAGGCCCAGGTGAGACGCCCGACACTAGAAGTCTTGCAGGGTGTGGAGCAGGCGTGCGTACTGGTGGGCCCAGCTCAGGAGACAGTCCCTGGCCACTCAGACTGAAGTGGAAAAGGATGAGAAGAAGGCTACTTCTTCGGTTCCCATTTCAGGTATGTTTATATACATGCGGCTTGGGTCACATGATGGGTGCCACGTCATCCTCGCATACAGCCATAGTCACCCAGGTGTCCCCATGGGGGATCCCGAGGGCGTCCGCTGTGAACGCGCGAGCTGGACGTAGCAGGGGTCACCCAGGGCACCTGGGCTGGGCGTGTCGTGAGCACGCTGCAGGTGGGTCAATGGTACATTGATACAAGGAAAGGTCGTCTGTGTAGAATAAAGAGAAAATAAAGAGAAAGTGAAATAAATGAAGAGGAAGTGAAATGGAGAAAGAAAGAAAGAGGAAGGAGGTAGGAGGTAGGAGAAGGCTGGGTGGCGGGGTACCAGGTGAAGTGGGGCCGGGTGGGGCCAGGTCAGGGGGGTGTGCCCTGACACCAAGCTGCATGTACATAAAGGTACCTGGGGTGGGAACCAAAGTAACCTTCTTCTCACAGTTCCCACTTCAGGTAAGTAGCATAGCCTCCCCTTTTAATAACAACTCACAGTTCCCACTTCAGTCTGAGTGGCCAGGGACCATTGTCCCGGATCGGGCCCGCCAGTACACATGCCCGCTCCACACCCCGCGACGGCCTCAGTGCCGGGCATTACCCCCAGGCCCTCTCGACCCCGGACGCGTCCCTGACACTGTGAATAGAATGATGCAAAGCCCTCAGATGACATATGTGCAGTATAACGTAGATTGGACTGGGTTTGAGCAACTTGCCGATTAATCCAGATATTACCTCCAATGCGGAGATAAGCTGCATCAGGATTAAAGATATTGGTAAGTTTCCCATTGATGGAAGTGTGATAGTGATCTGGAAAGTGAGATGTATTGCAGGACTGGCAGTTTCCCTGTGCAAGCTGGCCAATGTAGACACCATTATCCTCCAAAATCCATATATCCACACATTGTCTAGTTTGCTTCAACCATCCACCACACACTTGGCAGTCAAAATAACTGGGTCCTAACAGGGTTGGTTGTGGATGAATGAGGTGTGGGTCTGAAAGGAATTCATGTGAAAGCCCAAGTCCATTTTCAGCTTCAAGGATAAGATAGTTCTGGGTCTTTTGGTCCAGTTGAGGAAGGGCAAGTGAGTCCTGGGAGAATAGGTGGGCACTGAGATGACGTATCCATGAAGATGGAAAGTTGGGATTAAGGGTTGCTTGGGATTGGAGATAATGGTGATGGAGATATTCCCCATTGTGCAGGATGAAAAAAAGAATAACAGCCATAGCATAGCCCATGATCCTTGGAGTTGCTGAGGTGAATGTCTCTGCAAGGCCCATTGCAGTTGAAGCATACACCATAGGCAGGAAACACAGGAGTACAAAGACATTGAAAACATTCCTCAATTTGAAAGGTAGGTACACATTGGATTTCCTAATGTTACAATCATTCTGCTCAAAAATTTGATTGAGAAATGACAAACTGAGAATTACTTATTCTGGTTTGGCTCCACCCCATTTGCCTTGAGATACTTGAGATATGTGATGATTTCTTGGAGGCTATGAACCTTTGTCTCAGAGTTTGGATCATCATATGCATACTTGAGGTCCTTGACTGGTTCATTGTCCCATACTGATTCAAGATGACGTGCCTGAGGGTTGTTCTGGAACTCCATGTAGGTACTGTAGATGATAAGATGGTGAGCAACAGTACTGTCACTACAGGAAGTCACAGCAATATAGAGCTCTCGGAGGGGGACAGCCTTTCCATGTCCAGGAAAGGAAGCAGGGATAATTGGAACAGATTGAGTGAACTCCTTCACAATTGCTAGCATCTCATAAATGCTGCAAGCTGTTGTACGGTGAGAGTCCTTCAAAGCATTGAATTGGGCCTGCTTCTCCATAGTTTGCCACACCTTCCAGAGGTTACTGAGTTCCCCAAGGGAAGCCTTTCCAATTGTGGCAGAAGGGGCTGGTTCAGTAGGTGGTGTATATGGGATAGTGGGATTCATTGGATTGGGGTGAGGAATAGAGGGGCCAAGCTGAGTAGTTTGGGTAAGAGTGGATGTTGAGTTATAAACGTAAATAATCCTTCAATGTTCACAAAGAATATGGATACAATATGTCCTGCAAGAGTCACTCTCAACTTTTCCAAGTTGAATAGTGTCTTCGCCATCCAGGTATGAGATACGAGACTGAGTAAATCATTGGGAAAAAAATGAAACTTTGGGTTTATGACAGCTAGAGATAGAAACTCACTTGTAATCCAATCAGTACCTAGATACTCCTGGGCAGTGGAAAGAATATCCTGCATCAAGACACTCCATCCATCCACTTCAACCTGAGTGGATGGCCAAGCGGCATGGCTATAGGGGGAAATTACATTGTTCCATGGAGATGACCCAGGACCAATGAATTGGATTGTAACTTTCAATCCTAATAATGGGAGAGTTAATTCCTGGATAATGGGAGCATTTATTAACATTTAACATACCACTCAAAAGCTGAATAGTATCTTGTTCTTTGTTATCTTCGTCCTGTTTGTTTCTGTCTTCATCAACATCCTCATCACTGCTGGGGATATTGAACTCTTCAAAGTCACCAGTTGCATCATCTCTGCTTCCAGTGTCCACTGCACTTGGAGCAGTATCCTGTAATAATAGTTTACTCTCAAGTATGTATTAAGTAAGTTAAAACTTACTGAAATTTGAAGAGTTGATTTGGACTTTGCTGATTCAGACATGGAGTCAGAAATTGCAGTGACTCCCTCAGCAAAGTGTGTTTGCTGAGTAGCACCCTTCCCTTTGGAATCCTATCTGAAAGGGTTGGGAGTTGATTTTTTAAAGTTATTTTTGCAAAGAAAAATTGGCTCACATCTTGTTTTGCCCTCTTTCTTCCTGCTTTAGCTGCCTGGACTGTAGAGGAAGGTGCAGTAGGGACTTTTGGTTCTGGGCTTGCAGCCCGTTTGTGAGTTCGACCTGGAGGGGCAATGGAGGGGCCCAGTGCCGGGTCATTATCATTATCACATTCAGCCACAGTCCCAGTCCCAGTCTTAGCAGCTGCAGAGGTCTTCTTAGTGTTTTGTCGCTTAGAGCCACTAGCCAAGGTTGAATCCTGGGCCTTCTTCTGGCTGCCTGTGGCCGGGGTGGGTTTAGGGGCTTGAGGAGCCCCTTTGTCATGAATCCTGGTGCTCCTACACTGCCCAGTCTCTGATTGTTGACTAAAAGGGTGAGCCATGAGAGGTGATTGATATTCAAGCTCAAATAAAGCACAGTAGGGTGCAGTGATAGTTGTGTGAGTGTGAGGTGGTAGCAAGCGCGAAAGTTTAACACAGCCACATGATGTCACATGACAGTTCATAAGCGCTTGTGACATCTCATGCATATTCATGCATGCTCATGACCCATCATACATGTTCATGGAGCATCATGAATGTCCATGATGCATCATGGAACATTATAGGATTTTACATGATGAGGAAAGGTCAAAATAAACATATGACACTCCATGACCCATCATGACGGGTCATGAACATTCATGAATATCATGACCACTCATGAACCTCCATGAGGCATCATGTCAAATTGTGTCACCAGCTGTCATGAACCTTGTCAGCACATGACAGTTCATGACGGTTCATGAAATTTGGTGACAGTTCATAATTTGTCACAGACTGTCATGAAATCCAAATTTTTGAATGTAAAAAATGTCTGATTCAATTCAATTGTCATGACATGTCATGAGGGGTCATGAAATTTTGTGATATGTCATGACTCCTCATGATTTCATGATGCAGGATTACACTTTTGGAGAGTACCTCCCTCCAGGATACCAATCACTTGTTAGAGATGGGCGGAAACGGACGACTCCGGAGTGGAATCGGAGACTTAGCGTGGAGGGACCTTGGCCTCAGCGACTCAAGCGGAGCGCTGTGCCATTGCTGTTTGTCCATTTGGTCCTTAATTTCACAGTAGGTGAGCAGGAAGTCTCTTGGGGGCATTTCAGGTCGATTTCGGACTGAAAACAGACGAGTATGTACAAGCGCCGATATATAAGGAAGGGGCAAAAGCACAAGGAGAAACAAAGGGTGACCGAATCGGAACGAAGACGTCCGAACGGGAACAAAGGGTTAGAGGGAGCGGAGCGGTACCGAAGGTCATAGGGCAAGACCTGTGATACATCCGAAAGGAGGTAGAGTGGGCGAGGCCCAGAGGGGCAGGAGGATGAGGGGAAGTGGGGGTGATGACTAACTGGCTAGAATAGAAAGAAGCAGTAGTCCAAATAGGGATGAGGGGGAATTGCGAGAAATACATTACAAACGGCGAGAGTGCCGGAGGCGGTCCGCGAAGCTCGGGGGTTGCGGAGCTTACGGAGGTTACAGAGGCGGGGTTGGAAGTCCGAGGAATATTGGCAATGGTGTTCACGTAGTATGAGGTCACCAATGCAATGGACTAAGACCGAGGTGGAGTCAAAGTCCGAGGTATGGACTATGACGGAGGCTCGGAGTAAGGTACGAACGGTGTCCGAGTGTGAAGTACGGAACAGCGGTGGATGGTCGTAACTTGGTGGAAGGGTGGCGGAGGAATGAGAGAGGGGAAGGTAAGGAAGAGTAGTCAGGTCCGAAGGTGGATATCGGAACGGACGGAGATAGCGTAGGGGATGACGGGAGGGTGGAGGTGTGGTGAGGGGGGAGCGGAGTTGTAGGAAGGGTGGCGAGTAGGGAGATGTTCGGTCCGAGATGAGTATCGGAACGGACGGAGAAGGGGTCGGAGAGGTAAGAGGAGGGGTGTGTTGCCGAGACCGAAGGTGAGTATCGGAAAGGCAGCGGTAGGTTATGACTCCGGAGGTGAAGAGGGTGGAGGTCCGGAAGTCGGGTCGGGGTCGGGTATGCACGGATATGACATCACTGATGAAGAGGAAGCATGGCTGGATCGCAACGCAAATTTCACTGATGAGGCCATGCTCATTGCTGAGCTTCAGGATGCGGGGGACTTTCAGAGTGGATTTGGATTGCTTTCAGCCAGCCAGAGGGCAATTTCTCAGTGCCTGCAAACTGCAAGCACTCCTAAAAAATCAAAATTTGGAGAGAGTTGCCAATGCCGCACCGGAGACTGAGTGTAAATTCAACCCAAACTTGAAGCATGAGTGTGCAACATGATGGTTGGAGAACTGTACATTGAAAGGATGCCCAGGCTCTCGAAAATATGTTACAAATACAACTGAAGAGCCCTTGGCTAGGGCTCCTAGTGGATCGGATAACACTCGGATATCCACAGATTTATCCAAAAATCCGCGGATGCGGATTTGGCTTTTGACAGGATAATATCCGCAGTTTCTAATCTGCGGATCTATTGTCGCTACTGTTCTAGATACCCCTCCTATGTTTCTATATTTTCTTCCAATTTTTTCAAGTCTTATTTGACCACCCAGGCCTGTTATTCCCAAATTAGGCATTTGACCTCCAAGTTTTCCACCTGTAAGGGGTTGGTGTAGGTGCCAACCCTGGTTAGCCTAGTTCCTCAGGCTGCCAACAAAAGTAACTTGTATGAAGTTATTATTTGCAACAGTATGGGAGGAAAGGCTCAGTTGCTCTTTCCACTTTCCCACACTATTGTATGTACTTTGCATATACATGTTTATTACAAGACAATTATACAATAATGTAGTGGGAAATAAGGGGTGGGGTTACCACTCCTTACACCACCATTCTCCCCATATTTCCATCAGTTCTCCACCAATATGGACAAATTTGGGATTGTTAGAAAGCTCTTGTCAAGGACAATTCTGACGAAATGCAACTTTGGAACATTTTATCTACAATCCGCAGTTGATCCGCATATCTGCAGATTTCTAACTGCTGGATATGGATTTTATTTCAAACCTCTAAAAATCCGCGGATTCTGATCCGGATCCGATCCGATCCGATCCACTAGGAGCCATACCCTTGGCAAAGAAGGGACCAGTCTTCACTCATAAAGAGATTGCCATGCTCTGGCAATGCATCGAGATTCTTGATTGGTATCACAAGAATGGGACCAACCAATCCAAAACAGCCAAGCATTTTGAGCCGATATACCCCAATCTCAGGGTCAAGCAGCCTCTCATCTCTTCTTGGGTGAAAAATGAGGCCAAACTTCGCAAGGAATACCAGAGGTCAGACACAGCCACAAAGTTCAAGCAGACCCAGCATACAACGTTCCCTATGGTCATGGATATGTTGGAGCTATGGGCCACAGCTGCAGAGGAGAGAGGGGTGGTCCTCACTGGAGACATACTCCGAGCTAAATTTCAGCAATTTTCTGACCATGCCAGTATTGCATGTGAGAATCAGCTCAAGCTGAGCATGGGTGGCTGGAATCCATTAAGAACAGGCCTGGCCTCCGCTTACATGTACACCATGGTGAAGCCAGTTCAGCTAGCCCTGAAGCTGTCACTGCCGAACGGGCATGCTTGTAGGAACTTTTGTCTGGGTATTCCCTTGGGGATATCTTCAATGGTGATGAGATGGGACTTTATTACTCATGAGTTGCCAAACTGGACCCTCTCCCAGCAGTCACTCAACCAGAAATGATTCTCAGTATGCCACCAGACAAGGGCTTAAGTAAAGGCTCAATCCCTGGATTAAGGGGAAATAAAGTGCGGTTGACCTACTTTTTTGTTGCTAAAGTGGCCATGAGCTTGGCTTTGACTACAAGAACAACACCAAGGCCTGGATGACTTCAGCAATCTACTCAATGTACCTTAGACAATGGGATGCAGAACTTCGCACTCAAGGACAGCATGTTATCTATCTGCATGACAACTTCTCAGGTCACACCATACAAGATGATCTTACCAACATACAATGTGAATTTTTCGCACCAAATCTAACAGCGCATGTGCAGCCAATGGATGCTGGGATCATTCGCTGCTTCAAGGCACATTATCGGAGCCAATTCATCAGTCATGCAATCGATTGTTATGATTCTGGAGTGACTGAAGGGCATCCAAGGGGGGTCAGTTATGGAAATCCTAAACATCATGTCCCTTTTTAGGATTAGGGCAATGTGTGAGACCCCCCCCCCCTTTCAATTCAATCGGCAGTATCCATCATTTCAGGAGATGCCGGTTCCCAAATTTAGGAATTTGGTATGGAGCAAGAATTGAAATCCCAATTCATCCAAAATACTCCAAAACTTCTTAAATTCTCATATGGGCCCAGCAAGCACTCCATCTCAAATGAACACATGTGGAAATGTCCCAGTAAAGTGTATTGAAATTATGAACTAGCCACATATAAGCACCCAGTTTAAAGTACATGAACTACGATGTAACTATGATGTAATTGATAATTACCTAACCAATCAGACCTTCGCCACCAGCCAACCCTTTTCTGCTGTCCAGCCTCTTGCCTTCAACTGGCCCTTTGCTGCTGACTGACCTTTTTCTGCTGACCAACCCTTCACTCCAACCCACCCTTGTAAATGTGGCATTCCAAATATGGCAACCCGCTTCAGCAGTTCACTTGCAGTCCAGATGTAATATAGAAAGAAATATAACTAAAATACACATGGCACTCCAGTGCCCATATTTATACTCCTCAATAACATTCCAGGCTCTTCTATGCCCAGCGCTTATGCGGTTTAGTCTAATCATGTGACTTGTATTCCAACATTCCTTCTCATAACATACACTCTTCACTTAACAATCGATTTCTCACTGTACATAACTTAATCTAAAATGTCATCTGAAAATAGGTTTTGCCCTCTCTCATGAACCCCCCCCCTGTACCCTGTGTTTGGCATTTCCCGAAATGACACCCCTTGAGGGCATCCACCCTGTAGTCTTGGTCACCAACATCCACCCCTACCTCCCAGATGAGATCGCTGAGTGCACAGCAGACCCCTGCCCCAGCCCAGAAGTTATTGATGGAGAAGAAGAATACAAAGTAGAGAAGATCCTAAACTCCAAGTACAGATACGAAAAACTCTGGTATTTTGTTAAATTCTCGGGCTGGCCAAACTCGGAAAATGAATGGCTCCCCCACAAAAACTTAGAGCACTCTCAAGAGCTCATAGAAGAGTTCCATCGATCCCACCCCAATGCCCCGAGACAAGAAAGGTCCAATAGAACCCACCAGCCAAGACACCCAGCCACTCCGAGGCGAATGTCAGGGCCCGGCCCTCGTTCCGTGACGGGCCTAAGGGGATCCTCCGAGTCGCTGGGGTATCTAGTCCCAGTCCGAGGTCTTCAAACTC